CCCAGGATGGACTTGTGATCTTACTGGGCTTAGTCAGACTGAAGGGAAGGGCTTGTCTTCCATGCTCTGGGAAGAGGCCTTCCCTCTCTTTCCCACTGGATGTGAGTAAGGAAACTTTTTGCTGGTGTCAGCCGTATGGCAACCATGGGTAAAATGGCCAGAGGAAAAAGAGAACATAAAAGAAGGAGGGAAAAAAGAATCTGGAATTTTTATGACACCACTGAATCACTAGATCAAACAACCCCGTATCCTGGAATTCCTGTTTTGTGAGAGAATGCATTTCTGTTTAAGCCAGTTTGAGTCAAGTCTCTATTTTTTGCAAATAAAATTGTCTTGGCAGATATAATACCTGTATGGATTGATGATTCCCTTCCGTTTCCCTAAGGCTACCCAGTGATCGTCAGCCACTGGATGGGCTGAAATAGTGGCTGAGAACCACTACTTTTCACTTTATCTATTGGTTTTCCATGGGTCACTTGTTGAGGATGTTTTTCATATTATTTCTGTGATATGACTCTGCTTCATTGACACAGCACTTTGCAAACATTTATTATTTATGCCTAGTCCTAGATGGATCTATAACTTGGGGGGATTATTGTCAAGTAAGGAGACTGCAGTACAGCAAGTTAAAACATGCCCCAAATCACCAAAGATGGCAGTGCTGGAAATACCATGTACTTCATAAATGCTCCTCTCATTTCTATTTCTAGCCTACTGGACAGAAAAATTCAAGTCATTTAGAATTGCAAACCATGGCACTTTTAAAATATAGAAATCTTTAATGCTGTCTTTCTTCTTTTTCTTTCTGAGGAATGGGGGTTTATACATATGTTTTTTTCTTACCGACTCTTCATTGATAGTTCGTGTTTATAACCTTTAATTAATTTAAACTAGAGACCACATTTTAAAAACTGCTTATGGCTCCTGGTAGAAAGAGCTAGCAAAAGTGGAAATAGGGGTTACCTCACTGGAAGGAGACCAAAGTGCTCAACCTCCCAAGAGGGATTTTAGTCAAATGTTTAATGGAATTCTCAGAGAATCACCAGATAATTGGTCTAAGTATTTGTAAAACAGTTGTTTGATCATAATTACGAGAAATAAGGAATCGAACAGAAATGCAATTTTTCATCCAACAGTGTACAAAGTCACTACGATAAAAAGGTGAATAAGATAGTGATGCCATTTATACTGTTCTTAGAGAAAAAGGGCTAATGAAATATATGTGGAACAGTAGCCAATTGTTTTAGGCAACAGTTAATCAAATATTAAGTTGGTGCAAAAGTAATTGTGGTTTTGGACCTTGAATTTGAAATCATTATAATTAGGCTCAAACACATCTTTATGAATCTAAATAGAAACCACTAAAATCAACATATTTTTGCTAACGAGAAACAAGTTTGCTTATTCCTTTAGTGTGAAAATCTGTGCTTCAGGATTTGACGAACTCTTGGAAAGCATTTTCTGCATCCTGCTGGTTGTGGAAGCATTTCCCTGCAAAAAGTTGTCAAGATGCTTGAAGAAGTGGTAGTCAGTTGGCGAGAGAGGTCAGGTGAATATGGCGGATGAAGCAAAACTTTGTAGCCCAATTTGTTCAACTTTTAAAGCATTGGTTGTGTGACATGTGGTTAGGCACTGTCGTGGAGAAGAATTGGGCCCTTTCTGTTGACCAATGTTGGCTAAAGGCATTGCAGTTTTTGGTGTATCTCATTGATTTGCTGAGCATACTTCTCACATGTAATGGTTTTGCTGGGATTCAGAAAGCTGTAGTGGATCAGAGCAGCAGCAGACCACCAAACAGTGACCATGACATTTTTTTGGTGCAAGTTTGGCTTTGGGAAGTGCTTTGGAGCCTCTTCTCGGTCTATCCACTGAGCTGGATGTCGTATACAATGTCTTCGCTGTTTGTCGTATACAATCCACTTTTCGTCACATGTCACAATCCCATCGAGAAATTGTTCATTGTTGCTGTATACAAGAAGAGAAGAGGACACTTAAAAACGACAATTTTTTTGATTTTCGGTCTGCCCATGAAGCACCCACTTATTAAGCTTGTTCACCTTTCCAATTTGCTTCAAATGCCAACGACTGTAGAATGGTCGACGTTGAGTTCTTTGGCAACTTTTCCTGTAGTTGTAAGAGGATCAGCTTCAATGATTGCTCCCATTGGTCGTTGTCAACTTCCAATGGCCGGCCACTGCGCTCCTCATCTTCAAGGCTCTCGTCTCCTTTGCAAAATTTCTTAAACCACCACTGCACTGTTCACTCATTAGCAGTTCCTGGGCCAAATGTGTTGTTGATGCTGCGAGTTGTCTCCACTGCTTTATGACTGATTTTGAACTTGAATAAGAAAGTTGCTCTAATTTGCTTTTTCTCTAACATCATTTCCATAGCCTAAAATAAATATAAAATAAACAGCAAGTAATAAGTCACTAGCAAAAAAATAAATAAATAAAGCGAGAAATGCACATTAACATGATGTATAACGTAACCACTTTTATTTAAGAATGTATTCCAATACCAAACGGCAAATTTCAACAATGCCAAAACCACAATTACTTTTGCATCAACCTAATACGAAAGTTATGTGGTACAGAGTATGTGCCATTGGTACATGGACAAAGAGAGCTCATGATGAGCTATTGTGGTCAGGAGAGGTTATTTCATATGAGATGAGCATCACATAATGGTTTGGCCTTAGATGGACCTTTCAAGGTGAGAAAAATTGGAGCAATTAAGCTATTTTGTTTTTAGAAATTAAATCAATGCTAATCAGATATATTTTTTATTTCAAACCTTGTTGTTGAAATGTTTCTTAAAATGTATTAATATATGGACATCTGAAATTGTTTCCTATATTTTGAAATATTTCAAAATTAAAGCCAGAAAAATTTAAATATATTTATACATTTATTTCCTTAGTAAATAAAAGTATTAGGCATTTGATGGGTTAATTCATTCATTCACTAAATATATATATATTTTTTTTTGAGACAGAGTCTCACTCTTTTGCCTGGGTTAGAGTGCCGTGGCATCAGCCTAGCTCACAGCAACCTCAAACTCCTGGGCTCAAGCAATCCTTCTGTCTCAGCCTCCCCAGTAGCTGGGACTACAGGCATGCGCCACCATGCCTGGCTAATTTTTTTTCTATATAGTTTTAGTTGTCCGATTAATTTCTTTCTATTTTTAGTAGAGACGGGGTCTTGCTCTTGCTCAGACTGATCTCGAACTCCTGAGCTCAAGCAATCTGCCCGCCTCGACCTCCCAGAGTGCTAGGATTACAGGCGTGAGCCACCGCGCCCGGCCCATTCACTAAATATTTATTGAACACCTACTGTAAGCCAGGTAGTGTTCTAAGTGGTGAGCAAATAGATATGCCTCATTGATTATCAAAATCTTAGGGAGATATTTTTCAACAATAAACAAGTAGTTAGAAATGCTTTGAAGGAAAGAACAGGTTGAAGTGGCAGCAAATAAGAGACATAGAACCTACTTAGATAGGGTGGTCAGGGAGTGTTTCTCTGAAAAGGCAGTGCTCAGTTGAGACCTAAAGGGTGGGCAGAGCCAGTCCTGTAAAGTGGGAAGCAGAGCTCCAGGCCCCCAGGATAAGTTTGAGATGCCCAGGTATAGCCTCATATGGGGGATGTATGTATATGTATATAAAATGCTATATATTTACATATGTCAACTTAAAAATCAGAAGGTCTTCATAAATTTGGAAAGGAGGCTTTATTTCTTATAATGGGTTACAGTTGTTATAAGAAATAAATAAATAAATGAAGGCCTGCAGGCTGGGAAGAGTACCTCCCACCTAAACAGGAGGCAGGCACTTTGAGGGAGAGAAGGGTAGAACAGGGATTTATGCTGAAGGGGTTGGCTAATATATATATTCAACAGGTTTAAGAGGAGCTATGAATATTCATGAAAGGGGGTCATGCATGTGTGTAATAAGCAAACAAGCATGTTATATGCATCCCATGTTCACCTTGGGGTGGAGCCTTAATATTTAACTGCATTGCTATGAGGCTCTATACGTCAAAAAGCGAAGCAGGGGCACAAAGGCACTTAAGTGCGCAGCCTCTTGGCACCGGCCAGAACCGGTCTCTAGTCAGTGGTCTCTTCTCAGGAGAAAGTTACTGAAACCAGTCTTATGGCCAATCACAGCTATAGTTATGCCTTATGGAACAGCGAGGTCAGTCAGTCAGCGTCTGGTGGTGGAAGAGGTTTAATTGTTTTCATATTGCTTATCTCAAGTCCAATGCTTGGTTAGCTGCTAGAGAAAAAGAAAAACCTTGTGGCAGTGAGAACATAGTTTATTCTTTAAGTGTAGGGGTGCATGATTTAATCCGTGCCTGGAACGGCCAGAGGTCCGATTTATAATTTGGTATTTGCCAAAAGCAGTCTGTTCTGTCGGTCTTATGATCTCTATTTTAACATTTATGCTGGTCAGTTGTGTCTAAACCACAAAAGGGAGAGGGTATAACAAAGCATGTCCGACTTCATGTCCTGTCATGGCTGGGAACACAGTTTTTAAGGTTTCTCTGGGGTCCCCTTGGCCAAGAGGGGGGTCTGTTCAGTTCCTTGGGAGACCAGAGTTTCATTTTTAGTTCTCAACATATATGGGATATACGGCGGGGCGGGGCGACGGCGAGCGGGCCGCGCTCCCGTGGCGCTGCTTGGGGCGCGTCCTCCCGTAACCGTCGCCGCATCACCGCCGCCGCGTCCTTGCCAGGCGCCCCCAGCCCCTTGGAGGGCCCGACCCGGGGGTATGGAGAGGGCCCGCCCCCCTAGTCCTCGGGGGACCCTGAGGAGCCGACCGCGTGCGGCCTGAACCGCCGTCCCCGGCGAGAGGCCGATGGGCGCGTCTCCGCGGGCGGGCTGCGAAGCCGCGGCGCCGAGGAGAGCCGTGCTCGTGCCCGCGCAGGCCGTGTGCGCGCGCGCCCCCGCCGCAGCCCCGTCCGCGCCCGCCCCGCCTCTCGGCGCTGGCCCGGGAGACCGGTCCGCGAGCGGCGGCGGCGGCCCGAGGGACGATGAGCGGCGCGGCGCAGGCGGGCCTGGCTCGGCTCGCCGGGCTCACGCTGCTGACCTGCGGCCTGTGGCCGGCGCGGGCGCACAACGCGAGCCAGGAGTACTACACGGCGCTCATCAACGTGACGGTGCAGGAGCCCGGCCGCGGCGCCCCGCTCACGTTCCGCATCGTCCGCGGGCGCTACGGCCTGGACTCGCCCAAGGCCGAGGTGCGCGGCCAGGTGCTGACGCCGCTGCCCCTCCACGGAGTTGCTGATCATCTGGGCTGTGATCCTCAAACACGGTTCTTTGTCCCTCCTAACATCAAACAGTGGATTGCTTTGCTGCAGAGGGGAAACTGCACATTCAAAGAGAAGATATCACGGGCTGCTTTCCACAATGCGGTTGCTGTGGTCATCTACAATAATGAATCCAAAGAGGAGCCAGTCACCATGACTCACCCAGGCACTGGAGATATTATTGCTGTCATGATAACAGACTTGAGAGGTAAGGATATTTTGAGTTATCTGGAGAAAAACATCTCTGTACAAATGACAATAGCAGTTGGAACTCGAATGCCGCCAAAGAACTTCAGCCGCGGCTCTCTGGTCTTCGTGTCAATATCCTTTATTGTTTTGATGATTATTTCTTCAGCGTGGCTCATATTCTGCTTCATTCAGAAAATCAGATACACAAATGCACGCGACAGGAACCAGCGTCGTCTTGGAGATGCAGCCAAGAAAGCCATCAGTAAATTGACAACCAGAACAGTAAAAAAGGGCGATAAGGAAACAGACCCAGACTTTGATCATTGTGCAGTCTGCATAGAGAGCTATAAGCAGAACGATGTTGTCCGGATTCTCCCCTGCAAGCATGTTTTCCACAAATCCTGCGTTGATCCCTGGCTTAGTGAACATTGTACCTGTCCTATGTGCAAACTTAATATATTGAAGGCCCTGGGAATTGTGCCAAATATGCCGTGTACCGACAACGTAGCATTTGATATGGAAAGGCTCATCAGAGCCCAGACAGTTAACCAGAGATCAGCCCTAGGTGACCTCACCAGTGACAGCTCTCTTAGCCTTGAGCCACTTCGAACTTCGGGGATATCGCCTCTTCCTCAGGATGGGGAACTCACTCCTAGAACAGGAGAGATCAACATTGCAGTAACAAAAGAATGGTTTATTATTGCCAGCTTTGGTCTCCTCAGCGCACTCACGCTCTGCTACGTGATCATCAGAGCCACAGCTAGCTTGACTGCTAATGAGGTAGAATGGTTTTGAAGAGAAGAAAACTGCTCTCTGACTTATTGCCTTGAGGGAAAAAAGAACCTGTTTTTGTGCATCATTTACCAATCATGCCACCAAGCATTTATTTTTAGTACATTTTATTTTTTCATAAAATTGCTAATGCCAAAGCTTTGTATTAAAAGAAATAAATAATAAATAAAAGACTGTGGTATTGAGTATTAAAAAATATATATATGGCATATAGCCTACTTCATTTATTTATTTATTTCAAGGAATTGGTTTATGTGTTTGTGGGGGCTGGCAAGTCTAAAATTTGCAGGGCAGGCAAGTAAGATGGAATTCTGATGCTGTAGTTTTGAGGCAGAATTTCTTCTTCCGGAAAACTCAGTTTTGCTCTTAAGGCCTTTCAACCGATTGAATGAGGCCCACCCACATCATCAAGGTAATTTCCTTTACTGAAAGTCAATTGATTGTAGATGTTAACCACATCTACAAAATATCTTCACAGCAAGACCTAGATTAGTGTTTGATTACATAACTGGGTACTATGACCTAGCCAACGTGACACATTGAACTAGCCATAGCAGTTGGAAACCATCACATCAAACACAGTGTTTGGAGCTTAGTGAGATGGGGCAAGGAAGTCAGATAAACTTGGGAAGCTGGGCAGAGGTCTTGAGGCTAAGATAGAGTTTAGCTTTAGTCAGAGTTTATTGGGAAACTACAGGAGTGTATCAATAGGAAGTGGAGGATTCATTCACCTTATTGATAGCCTGTTTTTCATTCTGTTCAGAGAGATAATCAGTGGGATCCAAATTAAAAAATAAATCACTCTGGCTGATCTCTGGAGAATAAAATAGGGAGTGTATTAGTCAGCGTCTAGTCAAGAGGCAGAAACCACACCAGTAACTTGAACAGGGAACATTTGATATGAAGAGTTGTTAACTAGGTACAAGGTGGTTAACTATTAAAAAGGCATAGAAAAGGACCCTAAAGGTACTGAGGTAGCAGGTGCAGAGAGCACCCCTAGGGCTAAGGGAGGAACAAGAAAGGTACTTAGAGGAGGTCCTGTAAGGTCTGCGTTTCATACTTTGGTGAGAAGGTGTGGCTCCTATAGGAACAGCTGCCCACCATGGGGAGAGGGGAAGGAGAAACTTGCTGGGAGCTGCTTGCTGGATCCATGAGGACCTCCGCTGCTTTGAGGAACACCACAGGGACCAGCTGCACACTGTGCCCTTGCTGCCATTTAAAAAAATTAAAACAGGAAGAAGAAAATTCTCTTCTCCCTCTTCTAGCCTTGCAGACTCTGTCCTGCACCCTCTATTGGCAGAACCTGGCATCCTGTTGGCTGGCATGGGAGAAATATGGTTTAAGAGTTAGGCTGGGTGTGGTGGCTCACTCCTGTAATCCTAGCACTCTGGGAGGCTGAGGTGGGCGGATCATTTGAGCTAAGGAGTTCAAGACCAGCCTGAGCAAGAGCGAGACCCCGTCTCTACTAAAAATGGAAAGAAATTAGCTGGACAACTAAAAATATAGAAAAAATTAGCCGGGCATGGTGGCGCATTGCCTGTAGTCCCAGCTACGCAGGAAGCTGAAGCAGAATGATCGCTTGAGCCCAGGAGTTTGAGGTTGCTGTGAGCTAGGCTGACACCATGGCACTCACTCTAGTCCGGGCAAAAGAGTGAGACTCTGTCTCAAAAAAAAAAAAAAAAAAAGAGTTAACTGTATTATTACAACGGAGGACAAAGAAAGGTGGCTTTCTTATTGGCTTGGGAGCCAGTAAGTTGATATATGGCACTGGAGTCAAGGGTAGACTTGGGGGTGAAATGGCCAGGAAGCTATTGCAGTGGTCAAGGGAAGAGTTGATGGGTCCTGGTGGTGGCAGTGCAGTTGGAGAAGTGAATTCATTCAAGTTATCTATTGGAGGTAGGTACTAAAAATATTTTAAGTTTGCCTCCTTTATTATGCTTTAGAAGAGAATATTGAAAATAAGAAAATTCTATGATATGACTAAGGCTATTAACATTCCACAAATAATTCCAAACGTGAAATCTTAGTGGCAGTATTTATTAATTCATTTATTTGTATAGTGAAAGAAATCAAGAGAATCTAAATAAATGGAGAAATATTCCATTTTCGTGGATGGGAAGACTCAATATTATTAAGATGTCAATTCTTCCCAACTTAATCTATAGATTCAATGCAATCCCAATCAAAATCCCCATGAGTTATTTTATGAATATTGACAAACTGATTCTAAAGTTTATATAAAAAGGCAAAAGACACAGAATAGTCACTATAATATTGAAAGAGAAGGAAAAGAACAAAGTTGGAGGACTGACACTACCCAACTTCAAGAATTACTATAAAGCAACAGTAATCAGGACAGTGTAGTATTGGCAAAAGAGTGGACAATAAATCAATGGAACAGAATAGAGATTCTAGAAATAGACCCACACAAATACATTCAACTGATCTTTGACAAAGGAACAAAGGCAATTCGATGGAGAAAAGGTAGTTTTTTTTAACAAATGGTGCTGGAAAAACTGGACTTACATATGCAAAAAAAAAAAAAAGGAATCTAGACACAGACATTTATCATTTATTCATGCAACAAATATTTATTGATTTTACCAAGTATCAAACATCAAGTTTGTGATGATGCTTGGGGTGAAAAAAATATGTGTGGATAAAATTAAAACTTAAAAGGTCATAGTCTAATGATCTATCGATCCTTGGCCCTGCCGTTGTGGCTGGAACAGTTTTTGGAACATTGGGCTGGGTGTGTTTAGACCACAAGGCTTAGACTACTCCAGCTAATGGAGGCTTCTGGTTAATCTAGATTTCCCATCAATCATGAAAACTTCAACATAGTTGGTGAGCAGCCTCCAAATAGCCTATTGTCACCACCATATTAAATAACTTGAGTTAAGTAATTTACAGTGCTTTCAATGTAACACCAACACCAGCTGGTTTTTGGCATTGGTAACTCAGCAGGGAAACAGTGACAGGGAAATGACAAAAATAGCACATTACAGATGGTCATCAAAAGACCTAGAGATCGGGGCCGGTCGCGGTGGCTCACGCCTGTAATCCTAGCACTCTGGGAGGCCGAGGCGAGCGGATTGTTTGAGCTCAGGAGTTCGAGACCAGCCTGAGCAAGAGCGAGACTCCGTCTCTATTAAAAAAAATAGAAAGAAATTATCTGGACAACTAAAAATATATAGAAAAAAAAATCAGCCGGGCACAGTGGCTCTTGCCTGTAGTCCCAGCTACTCGGGAGGCTGAGGCAGGAGGATCGCTTGAGCCCAGGAGTTTGAGGTTGCTGTGAGCTAGGCTGACACCACAGCACTCACTCTAGCCAGGGCAACAGAGTGAGACTCTGTCTCAAAAAAAAAAAGACCTAGAGATCAAGGAATCTGATCTGAATTAAAATAGCAGATGCAGAATGGGGGTGGCTGCTTTGGAAGCACACTGTAAATACCACAGCCTTCCCGACATGACTGATATTAATGGACTAACGTTTTGTCCTCTCTTTGTTTTATTTTGATGTTCTGACTGATCTAGCTCCAGGTATGACGAGGGCTAAGGAGAAAAGAATCCCAGCAAAGTGGGTCTACAGGAATGGGAGCTGGGATTCAAGTCATGGCCACCTGACTTTTGGGATAGGAAGAGCAATTAGAGAGTTCAACAGACTGCTGATTGTACCCCCAAATTTACTCTCTTTTTTTCCCCATAGTGATAGAATTTTAGCAATGCGTAAGGTGACTCATCTAGAGGTTGCATTTTCTGGACTCCTCACAGCTAGGAGTGGCCACGAGGCCAAGTTCTTGCCAATGCAATATGAATAGAAGTGACGAGTGCAGCTCCTGTGTCACTTGCAAATGGCAATTGCTCACCTATCGCTCCTTCTGTTTGCCTCTTCCCCTGGCCCGGGCTGTGGTCACAGTGGTAACCCAGCTTTAACCATGCACACACACATAACGACCACATCCTCAGAAAGGGTGGCAGATGGAAGGAACTTTATCCTGGAGCAGACTTCCCCGTCAGCCTGGATCACTCTCCCGTAAACTGTCCCATGAGAAAGAAACAATATTCTTTCTTATTTCTTGATCTTTGAATGGTTTGATTCCAGCAGCAGCTTAAATTTTAGGCCAGGAAATACAGTGAGTAAATAAGCAGCTGCATCGGGAACTGAAAAATGACTCTTGTGGTCATTGTTTTGTCAAATTCCTTTCCTTTGCTCTTTAATTCATCCCTAATTCCTTTCCTGGCAAGGTCCAGTCCAATGCTGAGAGATCATGTTTGGGCACTGAGCTCAGAGCCAGGAGCAAAATTGATGTGCATGTATTGTCATCCCTGGGTATCCAAAGGGGATTGTTTCCAGGATGCCCTTGGCCACCAAAATCACAGACGCTCAAGTCCCTTATATAAAGTGGAGTAGTATTTGCATATAACCTACATCCCCCTCATACTTTAAACCGTCTCTAGATTACTTGGAATACCTAATACAATGTAACTGCTATATAAATGGTTCTTATATGGTATTGTTTTATTGGATTTGTGTTATTTTTTATTGTGGTATTATTATATTTTTTATTGGTTCTTTTCCTGAACATTTTTGATCTGAGGTTGGCTGAATCCATGGATGCAGAACCCACAGATGTGGAGGCCACTGTAGCCAGAAGCTGTGCTAGAAGGAGCAAGTTGAAAAGAGTTGATGAGCACCTGGGGCCATTGTCTGGGCGTAGGGGGGCGGGGAGGTGGTGTCAGAAGTTCACTCCATCAGTGAGGGAGAGCCTTGTGCATGGTATTGGGCTACTCTGAGGGCCAGAAGCAAGCGGACACTTGAAGGCCATGAGAAAGCAAGCTAGAGTCAACCTCTGCCTCGTACTTCCTACACTTCCTACACTTACTACCCTGGAGACCCTGCACTGGTGTATGGAAGGCCGTGGTGATTGAGGAATAGAAAGGGGAGTGAGAAGAGAGAGGCAACTGGTATACTGAAAAGGAGAGATTGGTCAAAAAATAGTGGTTTTTAAAATTGCACTGGAAATGTTATACTTCAGTAAGTCAGTCTGGATCCTTCAGAAGCTCCGATGTGGGCCCTAACTGGTACTCTCAGGCTGCACTTCCTCTTTGCAACTCCATTCTATATCCTTATCCTACAAAGAGGGCACCGAGGCTGGAGCGGTGGCTCACACCTGTAATCCTAGCACTTTGGGAATCCGAGGTGGGAGGATTGCTTGAGCCCGGAGTTTAAGACCAGGCTGAGCAACATAGCAAGACCCCGCCTCTATGAAAAATAGAAAAATTAACTGGGTGTGGTGGTGTGTGCCTGTAGTTGTTCCAGCTATTTGGGAGGCTAAGGTGGGAGGATTGCTTGAGCCCAGGAGTTTGAGGTTGCAGTGAGCTATGATGACACCACTGCACGCTAGCCTGGGCAACAGAACAAGACCCTGTCTCAAAAAAAAAAAAAAAAAATCCCCCAAAAACAAGAGAGTACAAATACTCTCTGTAGAGCCACATGGCGTTAATGGAAAATAAAGTTTATTTTATTAATTTTTTTATTTTTTAAGACAGAATCTCACTCTGTCGCCCTGGGTAGAGTGTGGTGGCATCAATGTAGCTCACTTCAGCCTCAAAATCCTGGGTTCAAGGGATCCTCCTGCCTCAGCATCCCAAGTAGCTGGGCCTCTTCCTCAGGCTGGTCTCAAACTCCCGAACTCAAGCAATCCTCCCTTCTTGGCCTCCCAGAGTGTTAGGATTACAGGTCTGAGCCACCACAACTGGCCTTGGGTAATTAATTCTCATTCTGTTGGACCTTGGGTTTTGTACAACTGTCTGCTTTTCAACTATAGAATTCCAGGACTCCTGACTCAGTCTGCCAGTGCAGTACAGGAAGTTATGAAAGCGTGGTAGCTCTGCTTTGAATTGTCGGTAGTTGGGAGTACCTAGTGCAGTCTCTTCCACAAGGCTCTGAGACTGTCCTTTGATGAAGATGCAAACTCTGGCCTGTAGATTATGGCAGAGTCTCAGAGCAAGTATCAAAGAAAAAGAAAAGCTATCTGTAGATAGCTAGCACACACTTGATGGCTATAGTTAATTTATTACTGATATTTTTCATATGCGAAAAGTCCAATGAGGTTCATTAAAAAAGTAATGCAATTAACAAGGAAATTTAGTTGTTTCTGTGCAAAACAAAGATAGAAAAGCCTCTTCTTCACTTGCCCTCCCAATCTCAGCTGTACAGACAGCCTGCCCAGGTACGGAGCCCTGAGGTTTCACAGATTCAGCCACAGGAAGAAGTGGGGGCGGGGAGCTGTCCAAATCCAGCCCTCAGCTAGAGCAAATAATAATGGCTGGAAGCTTAAAATAGATCCAGGAGGCGCTCATTAATGTGAACATATGAAACACTTCAGCACTCCAGTCTTCTTCATTTTGGAAATTGCTTTGGTCCATTTTTACTTCCCTCTATTCAATGGACTAGAAAATAGACCTTTACCAACATATTTACCACATTTGACAATGAACTAATTTAGACCGGCCAAAATAATTGTTGCACAGGGACACAAGAATTCAACCTCAGTTCAGAAAATCCCTGACATGTGACGTAGGAGGATTTATAGGTTTAGTGGAAATTGCTTTCTCCTGCTTTTCAGATTACATACTGGGGGTTGATTTTTTTGCGTGAGTAAACATCGTTCTAATAATGAACAGACCAATAATGTCTTAAGAGAGAAAAACATCTTTTTCCTTTTTGCTGTTTCTTGAGAGAACTGTTTGGATTTGGAAACCCATGTTGGCTGTCCAGAATATGAAATTTGCCATCTTTCTTTTGTGGTGGGGATGGGTTTTGGCCACTGAAAGCAGAGTGCACTGGCCAGGAAGAGAAGTACACGAGATGTCTAAGAAAGGCAGGTGAGTAGACATTTAGGGATGGAGGATTTAGGGGAGAGGGTGTTTAAAGCAAGTCTATGGTATTGTTCTAGAGATAGAGCATCATTTCCAGCTTATGGTATTTTGTGTGGATGCCTTTTCCCCTTTTCCCTTTGTTCTCCTGCTTCTCCCCTTTGAGGAAGTTAGAATTATATTTTCTTATAAAATGATGCTGATTAGATGATATTATTATTGCATATTCTTAAATTCCTTATGAATTGTCCTGGGTGAAAGGTAGATTCTGGAAAAAGGAATATATGCACATTTTTTTAAAAAATCAAGGGCAATTGTTTGATGTCTGTATCCTAAGGTTAGAAAAAAAATCTGCGAATTCCCAAATAACCAATGGGATCTCTAATTTGTGAGAATGATTTTGTTGGTTCTAATTATTCCTGTTAGATTTGTGGATCACTTTTAAATCTTTTAGAAGGAAACAAAGCAGCTTTCTTCAAGCTGTATGGCTAGAAGTTTCATTAGATTGTCCCCTACCTGTAAACTGGGTGGGGACAGGGATGGAGCTGCCTGCAGCTGAGCTGCTTGGCCGTGGCCAACACAGTACGTACTGCCCTGTCGGTACCAGCCCTCGCAGAGGGAGCCTGGACAGGGAGCCAGACTCGCCACCAGCCCCTGGGCACTCGGCCTCACGGGGCAGCTCTGATGGCAGCACTGGCAGTGAATGTGTGTACGGGATGTACATGTGTGTACGAGATGCACCCCTGCTTGCCGGCATCAGTCACTACAAGAGGACACTTGGGGACAACCTAATCCAGCACTTTCTCTTTCCTGATGAGGACGTGAAGGCAGTAAGGGCATTCTTGACTCTTGGTCCTTTATCAGCCTTAGCTCTCAATCGAACTTCAGCTTTCTTTATCTCTGGATGTAAATATGAATAGAGTCGGAAAGATCAGTTAATACGACAGGAAACCTAGCTTCTTGGAGTCTGGGACTAGGACAAGGGCTCTGTGTCTAGCTCCTCAGCACCCTCCCCGCTGGGCCTTGAGAGAGCCCTCCACACAAGGGCTGGCAAACAGCCAGCTGTAGCTCACAGCATTCGTTTCAAGCTGTTTTAACAATATCACAAAACCAGGAGCTGAAATATACAGCGGTCACAGTGAGCCCTGGGGTACCAAGGGAGACTACTGTGCCCTGCTCCCATCAGAGTCAGAACTTGCTTGGGCAAACTGGAAATTGTGAAGTGGTGCAGCCATAGAGATTATTTAAACCAAATGAGCTCATAGGGATTAAAAGCACAACGGCAACGAACCCTATTGATTGTCATCCAAAAACTTCTCTGCCTGTCTCCCAAGCCAGAGTTAGAGTGGCAATCTAATAGCAAATACCAATGATTAACAAGTCCCAGAGAGTGAAAAAGACTTTCTTTAAAAGAATTGCTTTTTTCAAACTTAAATTTCTTTTAATTTTTGAATTATTTTTCTTTTGTTGTAAATTGACAATTTATAATATATACTAATGGGATACAAAGTGATATTAGGATATATGTATACAATGTGGAATGATTAAGTCAAGCTAATTAATGTATCCGTCACCTCCAATACTTACTGTTTTTTGTGGTGAGAACATTTGAAATTTTCTCTTAGCAATTTTGAAATATGTAATACAGTATTATTAACTATAATCACCATACTGTGCAATATATCTCAAAAAACTTATTCCTCCTAACTGAAACTTCGTATCTTTTGACCAATATCTCCTCCCTGCCCCACCAGCCACTGGTAACCATCATTCTATTGTCTGTTTCTATGAGTTTAATTGTTTTAGAGTTCACATATCATTGAGATCACACAGTGTTTGTTTTTTGGCACCTGGCTTATTTCGCTGAGCTTAATGTCCTCCACGTTCATCCATATTGTTGCAAATGACAGAATTTTCTTCTTTTTAAGGGCTGAATAGTATTCCACTTGTATGGTTGTCATTATACATGTGTGTATACCACATTCTCTTTATCCATTCATCTGCTGATGGACACTTAGGCTGATTCCATAACTTTGCTATTACGAATAATGCTGCAATGGAAATCGGAGTACAGATATCTCTTCAACAAACTGATTTCAAATCCTTTGGATATATACCCAGTTGTGGGATTGCTGGATCATATGGTAATTCTATTTTTAGTTTTTTGAGAAACCTCCATGAAATTTTCCATAATAGCTGTACTAATTTATGTTCCCACCAATAGTGTACAAAGGTTCCCTTTTCTCCACACCCTTGCCAACACTTATCATTCATCTTTTTGATAATAGCCATTCTGACAGGTGTGAGGTGATATCTCGTGGTGGTTCTAATTTACATTTCCTTAATGATCAGTGATGTTGAACTTTGTTTTCCATATATCTGTTGGCCATTCGTATGTCTTCTTTTGAAAAATGTCTATTTGGGTCCTTTGTCCATTTTTTAATTGATTTGTTTATATTCTTGCTATTGAATTGTTTGAGTTCAATAGGAAATTCCTTTTTCAATAGGAAAAAGGAATATATGCACATTTTTTAAAAATTTTGGATATTAACCTTTTGTTAGATGTATGCCTTGCAAATATTTTTTCCCAATCTGTGGGTTGTCTCTTCACTCTGTTAAGTGTTTCCTTTGTTGTGCAGAAGCTTTTTAGATTGATGTAATCTCATTTGTCTATTTTTGCTTTTGTTGCCTGGGCTTTTGGGGTCAAGTCCAAAAAATTACTGCCCAGATCAATGTCATGTAGTTTTCCCCTATGTTTTCTTCTAGCAGTTTTACAGTTTCAGGTCTTACGTTTAAGTCTTTAATTCATTTTCAGTTGATTCTTATATATGGTGTGAGTTAAAGGGCATGTGGATATTCAGTTTTCCCTACACCATTTATTGAAGAGACTATTCTTTTCCCATTGTGTGTTTTTGGCACCTTTGTTGAAAATCAATTGACTGTAAATGTGTGGGTTCATTTTGGGGCTCTCTATTCTTTCCTATTGATTGGTGTATCATTTTTATGCCAGTATCATGCGTTTTAATTACTATAGCTTTGTAACATAGCTTGAAATCAGGTAGTGTGATGCTTCTAGCTTTGTTCTTTTTGCTCAAGATTGTTTTGACTATTCAGTGTCCTTTGTGGTTCCATACAAATTTTAGGATTGTTTTTTCCATTTCTGTAAATAATAACATTGGAATTTTGACAGGGATTGCATTGAATCTATAGATCAATTTGGGCAGTATGGACATTTGGCAATATTAATTCTTGCAATCCATGAACACGGGATATCTTTCCATTTATTTATGTCTTCTTCAATTTCTTTCATTAGTGTTCTATGGTTTTCAGTGTACAGATTTTTCACCTCCTTGGTTAAATTTACTCTTTACTCTTTTATTTATTCTTTTTTTGAGGTAGCTATTTTAAATGGGATTTTCTTGATTTTGTTTTTAGATAGTTTCTTATTAATGTATAGAAAACACTACTCATTTTTGTGTGTTGATTTGTATCCTGCAACTTTACTGCATTAGTTTATTAGTTCTAATAGTTTTTTGATGGAGTCATTAGTGTTTCCTATATATAAGATCGTGTCATCAGCAAACAGTGATATTTTTACTTTTCTTTCCTATTTGTATGCCTTTTATTTCTTTCTCTTGCCTGATTGCTCTGGCCAGGACTTCCAGTACTATGGTTGAATAGAAGTGGCAGGAGTGGGCATCCTTGTCTTGTTCCTGATCTTAAAGAGTGAAGTAGATTTTCTTTTTAAAAATTACTTTTAGACCAGACATAGTGGTTCATGCCTATAATCCCAGCATTTTGGGAGGTCAAAGCAGGGGGATTGCTAGAGCCCAGGAGTTTGAGACCAGCTTAGGCAACATAGTAAGACCCCATCTCTACAAAAAATAATTTAAAAAAATTAGCTCGTTGTGGTGGTGCATGCCTGTAGTCCCAGCTACTTGGAAGACTGAAGTGGGAGGATCCCTTGAGCCCAGGATGTCGAGGCTGCAGAGGGCTGTGATCACGCCACTGCACTTCAGCCTTGGAGATAGAGTGAGACCTTATCTCTGGGGGAAAAAAATTACTTTTAAAACCTTCATTTTTTATTATGAAAGATACATATTACTATTATATAAATTTACAAAAAAATGGGAAAAAATTTTTTAACTGAATTTACTTCACTGGGAAAAATTTAAAAACATGAAATCACCCACAATCCCCAAATCCAGAAGTAGTCTTGTTAACATTTTGTGTATTTTCTTCTGGTCTTTTTTTTCTAAGCATATATCAAATATTAACTAGTTTGGGATTATTTTATGCATATAGTTTTATAACCTTATTGTATTTATTATGATATTGTCTGCATGTTTACTTATTTTTAAAGTCTATATAATTATCATTTGGTTGGCTACATCATAATGCATAATATGCATAATAATGCACAATGTACCACCATGTAAGTATTTTCTTCTATTTGTGGACATTTAATTGTTTCCTCTTTATTATTACTAACATAAATATTCTGTATGTATATCTTTGTACATAAGAAGTTGTCTACATACATGATTATTTAATTAGGATAGAGTCCTAGAAGTGTGCTGGATCAAATGGCACAAGAACATTCAAAGCTCCAGATATATTTGGCCAAAATTCTTTCTAGAACAGAAGGTGGCCCCAACTTATACTCCACTAGCCAGGTTAAACTTTATTTTTATGTAGCCTAAACTTTTAAAGGGCTTGCTTAATTTCATCCAGACACCAAGCCCACAAGCTGCTGGTAATTTGAATCCAGGCTTCTTTCCTTGGTTCCTGCTAATCAAATAACTCAAGCAAACACAGGCACAAAAGGGGTGAGGTGGGTGAAGTACCTAAGATGCAAAATGTAAGGAGGTGTTTGCACAACCCAGAGAATGAGTGACTCTTTCAATTTTGTTCCCTACGTACCTCACTTGTCTCACCCTAGTCTCCTTCCTAGAAAATAATTCATGTGATTTCCCAACATCTCCGTGGGTGGCTCATCATGGTGGAAC